AAATAGTAGTTTGTCGGTTGTTATGTCTGGCTTTGTCCGGAGCTAAATACGTGGTCTAGACGACGGGAGCGAGCTGCGGTTTATTTGCAAACGAAGTTGATTCACAAAATTAAAAGTTGTTTTGTTTGCGGTGACAGTTTTAATTCGATAGTGTTTGTAAAAGCTTTAAACTTGTTTTGTACTCCGATGTAGGATTGTTTTCTGATTTTTTAACAGTTTTAAAATAAGCATCAATATTTTAAAGAGTCTTTATTTTTTTCCTTTCCAATAAAGTGTATTCGAAATTGATAACATAGGTATGGGGTGAAAATAAAAAACAGGCATTGCAAAGTTGTAACACGTAAAGGTGAAATCGGTTATAAAAGTAGTATAATGGTAAGGGTGTTAAGAATGATAATATTTTAATTCTTTACTATAGCGTTACACCTTCGGTCACAAAACGTGTAAATGACTCTGTTGCGTTATTAGCCATACGAAAATAAATATTTGGTTGCTACATGCTTATAGATAATTAAATGTAGGTAGCGTAGACACTTTCGTAGGTGTAGAGGAGATAATATGACTTAGTGTCGTATAAGAGCACTTGCGACTGCAGATTATTTTTATGTGTGTGTTTGTGTGTAGTGTCGGAACAGTCGTCGGGCGTGGGGGAGGGTGGTCGTCCGCCGCCTCCGCTGCCCCCGCCGCGCTTCCCCACCCCCGGCAACGTCTGACAATGGGAGATAGCTGCGCGTGCGCCGGCGCCGCTGGTCGCCCCCATCAAGGCCGCCGCCAACTTCTTGTTTCATGGACTCAAGCGACAAGCCGTGGGCCGCTCTATCACTACCACACAACAAATGTTCTAAATCGATGTGATTAGGTATAATAACGAAACTTAATTATAAGTCACGGCGTAAAATTTACATATATAGGTTCTTTAGTCTGTCATTTTGTGACATAATTTATGAAATGCCTAGGTACCGTGTAAAGTGCCATTGGTTTCTTGTACCCGTTTTCATTAGGTCTTCATGAAATTTTATTAAAAAAAATGTAAGAATTAACTGAACAAAATTGAAAGAATTGGAAAAGGTGACATTGTGAGCCGGCATTGTACACCGTTCGTGGACGGGCCGTTGATTCTAGCTTTAGATATATATAAAAGTTAACTGGTAAGTATTCGATGGTGATGAGGATGATATATTCTATATGATAAAAATAAAAGTAGATTTTTATCGAATAAATACTAGGGTGCAATGACTGCGGGGAAGCGGTGCGTTGTGCGGGATGTGTAATAACTAACGCACGGGTCATTTGCCAATACGTAGGTAAATAAATGTGTACGCAACGGTGAGTACGATAGATCAGGATCTCACGGCGGGCAGATGGACCTAATTTCCATAAAGCTGGGATTTTGTCAGCTAGAGGTATTGTTAGGAAAGATTTATTTTAAGTACGTTCTTGAGGTATTTAACAATGTTCAGTGCTATCGGAATTCCTTAACACTTGTCCATTTAAATCTAACTAAATGACCTTTTTCAAATTGGCATGATAAGTTACTCCATTGTAACGGTGACTGTTTATTAAGAACAACATATTGGTATAGTCAAAGGAATAACATTATATCAAATCCAGCTTTACTGAAATGAAGTAATCTGCCGAGCACACGGTCTCGATCTACGAGTATGTACTTGCATCGTGCTAACGTGTTTGCAACGACACGGCTCGACACAACACGATGGCTCATTTACTGTCACGGACAAACGTAAAGAGTATATATTATGCTGTGACTATTATAATGTTGATTTTTTATATATAATTATATTATTTTATGGATGTTTTATTCTCCTTTTACTCATGATTATTGTTATATCTATTAACTAATAAATTAATGTCATATCTAAAATGACCGAAATAAATATAATTAAAATATAAGTTATTATTATAAATAAATAAATATATAATTATAACAATTATTGGACAGCTACAGTTTAATTGCAGTTGCGGGAATTGATTGTATCACATATATATGTATTTGTATACATATATGTATACGTTTAAATGTATATGTGTACGTTAAGAGAACAATTAGAAAACAATTTTACATAACGATCACACGAGTAATACATATTTTGTTGCAGTTACGTTTGGAAATAGTTTATTACACATTATTTTATAATTGTAAGAGATAATAAAGAAATATCTTATTATTTGATGAAAAAGTTTAGATTGCGATAAGTTATACAATTTGTAAAGACTTTTAATAATGTAAAGCTTTTAATCTTATACGCCCCTAGACAACAAACGTTTCATTATTTATTAGTTAGGGTTCAGTAGTACTACAGGGTTGTTCCGATCTGTTCGTCCGTGCATCCGACAAATGCTCAATTCAATATTAAGATGTGGGTCTGTGGTCTATTGGGGTGACGCTCGTGGAGCAGGCTCGGCCTAATGTGTGACTGGCTGCTCACTCATGCGTTGACTGATCACTGTGAACTTTACCTTACTTCTCTACTGCCATTTATTATTACCGACATTTACGATTATCAAAACAAACAAAGAATTATTTTCTTGACCGCTTGTCTGACAGCCCTAGTAGCTATAAGCCAATAGTTTATAACTCCTTCAGCTAGATGTTGCTTCATTCAAAGTTCTTGCTCTCTCTTCACTCACTTTAGGTACAGATTGAGATAAGGACAAGGGAAGGCGTCAGCCCTACTGTTGTGTGTAATGTAACTGCCGTGACTTGATAGTTATATGTTGGAACTAATTGTTAAAATAAAGTTAGCGAAGTTTTATAAATAAATTTTTTATAGATTACCTTAACGCATCTTAATGACATTGCAATATATTTAAGATGTCATTTTCATGTCAATTAAACGATTTACGATAAAATAATACAATAAAATAAAATTCTCTTCTTTCTACAACATTGTTATTCTAAATTAACTTAACTATCTTTATCATATCTAATTTTATGACTATTCTATTAAGACATAATATTTTTCGCTTTTATTACGCACGACATTTTTACAAACAAGACATAGGCCACAACTTTGTATAAGTTATTAAATTGGCTACTAGTTACTTATTTAGTCTTGTTTTTATATATATATTAGTTAAAATCTATTGTAGTTTCTTTATTTTTTGTTTATATTTCTCAAAATAAGTACGTAAGTCTATGTGCCATAATAAAAACAATAAATCATATTATACGAAAGTATACAGATATTTAAATTAAAATAAATTAGAAAATTTCAATCATTAATTCTGATTTCACTTAGAAATATATCTCAGTATAAATTATTAGATATTCAATCTTCGTAAACATTTAAAGTCTACACTTGCATAATTCTGCATTTAACAAATATATTCTAATTAAAAACTCCGTATAGATAAAGACTGTAATAATAACAGAATGCTGTGGAATCAACGCCTCTATAAAATATTAGGTTATAAGTTAACGAGACATATACAACATTCTAAAGTAAATAATAACTGTATTTGTAGCGTGAGGTCCCATCACAAACTAGTTAAGATATTGAAAGTTTATTGCTATATACTACTTATGTAACTACAGTAACGTTATATTGAGACATAAAGGTAAATTGTTATCGGTTTAGAGAAAGTTCACAGATCGTCATCGAATAAAGAGTAAAATATAATTAATATATATGTTATACATTTTAAATGTTTTATAATGAGGAAAAAATTAGTTTGACACATTTTATTGTATGCTCAAAAGTATTTAATATAAGCATTGTAGAATAGATATTCGATTGGTTGTTCCACTGATGTAGAAGACACGATTTTGCGTGTTCGCTTATTTGTATATAGAGTTGGAGACTTGGCGAGTGGCGACACTGGATGCACGGATGGACAGCTCACAGGGGAGTAGTACATCCCCTTTCGCTAGCAAACGACACCCTAAATACTTCTAAAGCACTATACACGTTAATGCCACGATTATCTGAGATGCATTTGAGTTTCAATACTCGGAGATTACTCCGCTACTTGTACAAAAGGAACTTGTAAAGTTTTATTGTAACTAATACTTGTTATAAAAACTTAAAAATATATCGACACGTTGTTTTATTTATAACCACATTTTTGTCATATATTAAACAAAATGCAGCTTAAATTATTGTATGCAAAAATAATACATAGAAGAATTAACATCGTAGCAAATATAACATAGTATCTAATAGAAATCGTGCCCTGTATCTGTAGAAAGGAAGGGAGATAGAAAGGATTGTGGGTAGAAGTAAAATCCTGTTTGACCAATATAAAGTAATACCTAATAGACAGTCAAAAAATTCAAACTGTAATGATACACGATAACGACTACAGCTGACATAAGTTCGTGAGACTGTATTTTGTCAGCTATGTTTGATAGGGATGATTAGCATATGAACATTTGACGTCATACCGTTAATCATTATTTGGAGCAGATTTTTTAGAAAAACAAATTATAACCCATGAAAATCAAGAGATGGCATTTTAGTTTAAAAAAAAACAACTAAAATTTAAATCAGTGCCATCTATTGTTAGAAGATTCTTCAGATAAAAGATGGCGACACTGTTGGTTAGTTTTAAACGCATTCTCCTAGATGTAGTTCCTATTAGCGCCATTTATTAGCAGGAGTGTTTTCTTTTCACAAAAGATAGCGTTGTTGCCTCATTCTCTTACAAAAAAGATATCTGAATCTAGTTTAAAAAAAACAAAATAGACAAAAACATTTAAACTTACCTACTGTTTCATTTCATAGCGTAGTACCAAAGAGTCTAGACAAACCCGCAATGGGTTTATAGACACTTTTATTGTAAATTTGTATATTGTTCCTTGTTTATATAAAATAAATAAAAAAACAGGAAATAAAGCAAATGATACATTTTATAACGATTTCTATAATGGCCATCAATGACATTGAGGGAAAAAATTACACTGTGTAATGTATTATTTTAATATATTTTAAATTTCTGTATTTTTACGATTGCACATAAATAAGTTAATTGAGATTAAAAATACTAACAAATTACTGCGTTAAATAAATAATTAAGCAAAAACTTATCTAAACTTAAAAGATTAAGACGTAAGAACTAATCATTAGCCTTCAGTGGATAGATCTTGTTACACTCAACTTCAAATGTAAAAATTATGAATTTACTAATAGTTTTTTTGTTGTTCCTTATTTTACAAAAGTAAATATGTTATTATAAATAAAAATAGGATGGCTGATTGACAAGAGACTTGAAAAACTTGGATTTTTAATGTTTGGAAATAGGGCTTTAATTAATTAAAAAAAAAGTAATTACAACACCATTACTATTTAAATTATAATTTATATAATAAGCCTTGCTTGTCTTTTACAAAATTTAAGCGGAATAGGAAAAGCAATAAAATACCTACGTAATAGACAGCAGATGGAAGACAGGCGGTGCTGGCGATTGCTTTTTGACCAAAGTGCTTTTTGAAAAAAGTTAGGTCAAGAACTGTGTGGCCCATTGGATCCAGACTTATAACCCAGACATTATGTTATTTATGGGTGCTTTTCATTTAAATATATTCACTTAATAAGGAAAAAATTACATTTAGGCACTGTGATTATCAATACCAAGGAGTTCTATGAAACGCCCCAAAAGCTGTTTAGTGTAGCTGTCCAAACGGAAAGCTGTGGCTTCTAGTGCAGACAGTTCAATATGTATATCTTCAATTTGCTCAAGCAGTGGCTTTACTTCAGTTTCATCTGGAAATAAATCGAGTAAAAAAAATTCTACATATTAAAATAAAAGCTATCAAATATAACAAAAATAATTTATCTAAACAGGATATTGGGAGATCAAGAGAGACAAGAAGTACTGGAGATTCTTTTCTTCACTTACTCCCATACTCAACAAACATTGAAATATTAAAACAAAAACTTACATTTTTCATTGCTCTCATTTAGTGACTTGGTTATATTTACTGCAAGAGATTGAAGATCTGCATATTTTATGATTACTGTTCTATTAATCTCTTCTAAGAGATCATAATGTTCCTGAAACAGTGCAAAAAAATTATACAGCTGAACCTGGTTAAGTGAAAGTTCCGAGAAATAAGCTCCTACTTGAAGAAAAATGTCTGAGCAAGAAAAATATCACGGTCCCTTGGATTCTTCCTTATCCAGTCTATAAAGACTTACATACATTCATATGTAATACTGCAATATAATAACTTGTCATAAACAGGCGTCAAGACCAATGCATCAATGGTCCCAATGCTTACTTGCCCTTATTTACATAGAAAATAAAATATAAAGTATTCTATAAAAAGCAGTAAAATCTAACTTAATTTTAGATATATGTTAGCAGTTAGCAGTTGTATGATAGCAGAATGGATCATTTTATGAAATGGTTCACCTGATCAGCTAATATTTAATATTTTTCGATATAAAAAGCTAAAAGCACAGACACTTTATGAAATAAATGAATTCAAAAATCAGTGTTATAAGAAACACAATAAGAATTTATGTTTACCTGTCCTGTGGCAATTTCCCCTTGAAGATAGTCGTTGGTGCGCTTAAACATCTGCGTCGCTAATCGACTAAGGACAGGGTCATGTGGATCTAATAAATCAAAACTAGAACAACTAGGAAACGTCCGTAAATCTGTAATAAATAAATACCAGTACACATCAGATGCGAAAGGCACATAAATGCGATTATTTATAGTATATATTTCGGCATAATACAACAATTTAAGTTATATACATAAATAATTATAAGGAATATTTCACCTTTATTTCTTCGTTCACCAGTCCAAGTTACCTCTTCTTCAGACATTATTATTGGCTTACTTAACAAAATATTTCTTTACTACCGCGATTATTTAATTTATTGATACTAAATAACACAAAACGACACTTCATCTACGGCCACTGAACTCCATACATGGAAAGGCTATAAACTGTGCTATTTTGTTCCTATTTGATCTTCGCCATTTAGAATCTGACTGTTGCAGTTCGTAGAGGTGGTAAAGAAACGAACAGAAAACTGTCATTTCCGAGGTATTGCCTATCCATTTAAATAGGCGGCGGATACATGGTTTAATGTTACCACTTTTATAATTTCGAAATTCCATAAAAATGTTAGTTTATTTGCTAATATTTAAATTGATATACCCAAATCAAGTAAAGAATTTCTACGAAACGCAGGTCATAAATTGCAATGGAAGTGTAGAAATTGTAAAAGGGACCAGTCCATTTTTTTTTTCGGGAAGCCATTTCATAACCTCTTACTGATAGTAGTGTGCAATGGGAGGACTATAGTGGCTATTGAAATAGCCACTGACCGCTGTTATGTGAATACGCGACAGATTGATGTAATTTATTCATAGAGGAATAAACTGGCACACATTATAATAAGTTTGTCGACGACTGTACAATGACGCTTGTCATAAATATTCGTGCTAGGCCACTGAGCTCTATACATACATGACATATATGTGCTAGGCGCACTCTTCTTTTTCTGTCAGTTGGGAGTAGAAGAAATAAGTACAAAAAATATTGGCAAGGAAAACTGTACTACATTTATTATCTATAGTAATGTTCTCTTTATTTAAGAATCAAATATTAAGTACGAGAATTAAAAATCTTAAACCTTAAATATAATTGGGGAAAGACGTACAGTGTTAACACTTTAAAGAATCTGAAGTAGTAGAGCATTTTCATGTTTGATTTATGTTTAAATGCAGTAGAGAAACAATCGCATGCGTCATTTGAATCATATATAGTAACATTTAGAAAATTAGGAAAATTATCTTAATTTCAACAGATTTCGATGTAACAAATGATGAAAAAGTGTTTACACTGTATCAGTAAAATAATTTTAGTATAAAATCAAAAAGATAGTTCTTATATAATACCAAGTAAATATTTCAAAATCGTATACTAAGATAGTGAATGGAGGTGGGTAGCCAACAGGGAGGACTTTTCTATTACAATTAAAATTCACAACCTTTGGACGCATAAATTATACTAAATGAATCGATGTGGCATACTATCATATAAGTTTCTTACCTATAATTGAATAAAATCAGTTACAAAACAAAAAAAAGATCACATAAAGCTGCATTTGATTATATATGCTAAAGTCCATCCCTGTTGTTATAAAGAAAACAGTATTGAATACTGCCTAAAATTTGTTACAATGAATTATTGAAATAAATTAATGAATTTATCCACAGTCTCAAAAATCAATTATTTAGTCTTAATATGTTAAATACTGCAGATGATTTGTGAATAGATGTAAATTCAGCCTGAGATACAAGAAGCCTAAAATAAAACACTGTCTGATAGAGATCACAAAATCGAGATTACAATAGATCAGTCGTGTTCCTAGTGGTCCATTGTTTCTTGCAATGTACATAGCTTATAAGTAATTCTAATAGATTTCTGATTTACTTCAGTAAGTTATTATTTGAAATCTGATTTATGGATTGTTTTAAAACGGAACATCACCAATAAGACATATCGAACCTTTTTATCCTACGTCAAATATTTGTTCTTAAGTATTTTTAACACAGCATGCTACAAGAAAAGTAAATTAGTAAATGTGTTTTACACACAATGTATGAATAATCTATTAAATCACATTGAGATTGTTTTCATCGAGGAAAGAATAGAATAATTATCCTCAATACAATAATACTTATTAAATATTTCATGCAATGTTGGAATGAATTTTAAAATGGTGTACATATGTTTCTTAAGGATTGAAAACTGGCATCAGAGACAACTTTTTCTGCACTTCCTCAGTTGAGTCGTCGGAGAGCAGTAGAGTGTGAGAGTATCCCATTGTCACCTGCGTTATTTTGAGACCCTCCATTTTGCTAACTTCACGGGGTTTCGCCGTCGACTTGTTGATCTCTCCTGTTCCCTGTTCAATGTAAATTAACCATTTTTAATTACTCATAATACAAACTATGTCATAGGAATAATGCCACTGACTGCAATTATTTCACTTTAGTACATTAAAGTCATGTGTATTTTTAACTATACCATATTAGATGTATTATTAATATTGTTTTAATAATCTTATGATTAAATAAAGGTATAATATATGTAGGTTTTGCTACTTACAAGCTCTCCGTAAGTGGGGGAAACGCCCCAAGCAATGAGAGTATCATCAGCCGCTATCACTACGGATGTGTTGCTCGTGCCCACAGTACGAATGCTCCAACCTGCGAAAAACATTATTTATTTAATGGAACTTTTTGGTATTAATTTTTTTATAAATATAAGTTAATGTACATAAGTTTATTTTTGTCACTATTTTTGAATTATTCAAATGTACTTATTTACATACAAATATAAGTTCTTACCAGTAAGGTCCTGTACCGGCTTGGGGTACATATTAGCTTCACCAGTGCGCTTAGTCTGCCCAAACATAAACAGCATGCCTGCAATACAGATTTTTTATTATTATGGTGATTATTGTCAACATTGCCTGAATTCTATCTATCCGAGCAAGTGATTGCTATTACGAGACATCCACAGCAAGAAATATGTTGCAGATATTATGTTTCTTTATTGGGTAGAAGACAGGGTAACCCTTAAAACCCATACTTACTTCTATTTATCCCCTCCATTATCTTTAATTCGGAAAGGATGAGAAGGAGGAAAGAGGGCTAGAATTAGTCCTTTTGGGGCATAGTCATTGTACATTGTGTGTGGTCATCGTATTACCCCGGTCAAGCTTGTCATTTGTGCAGCGATTAATACAGACTACAGCAGTTTGAATTCAAGTGGGTATATAAAGTTCGATGTCAGTGGGGGAAGATTTTACCAAGGGAAATAGATACTGACCATGTTCATTGACAGCGAGACTGTAGGTGGCACCGCAGTGCACGGAGCGCACTCCACGCGCCTGGTGATCAAAGTACTTAATGAGTCGCGGCACGCTCTCATCTCTCTGCTCAGCGTGACCGAGACGGCCGAAGCCTCCGAAGCCCCAACTGAACGCGCGCTTCTTGGAATCAATCGCCACCTACAAAGATAAAGAAAGTACAGTATAAGCTTGTAACAGCTACAATGATAATTAACAAAGATACATTGTTTTACAAAGTATTCAAAAAGTTCATAATATGACTCTCAGAAATAAAATATACAAAGTCTTTTATACTTTGACCTGAACAAATAACATTATTATGATAATATGCAAAATTATGTATTTCAAAATTCAAAATTAAATTATCTTTGTAGTTAAATAAAAAAATAACAAATATGTTAGTGAATGTTTGCATACCGTATGGTTATTTCCACACGAGAAGTCGACAATGTCAACATCTTTTACGGCCATCACATATCCCTCTTTGGATTTCTCATAGAAGAATCCAATGTGCCTTGGAACTGTCTCAAAGTGATATGACAGTTTTGTAGATGAGACAAAGTATTTTCCATCGGTGTTATGGCCTAGGAAAGAATAAAGAACAAGTTATTTACTGTAAAACAAAGCTTGGTTACAAAACTCGCAAAAAATGTTACACATGACATATGATGGTACTTCCAAGTTTACAAACATTGTCAATCTTCACCTATGCTACTATAATATATTTTATATTACATAAAAGCATTTACCCAATTGGCCAAATTCAGGCAATCCAAATGAATGAAGAGCGCCGTTACAATCCAGTATCATTGAGAATTCGGCACCACATCCAACCTTCACTATTGGTGCTCCACTAAAAAGTAAATAAACATTTTCACCTTCTAGATACACAGACAGACAGGTCAACTGATAATAACCTATTATCGCCAGTACACAGTGGTCTAATCCAGCAGTTATTTAACTAAATTTATCACATTATAAAATTTATAATAAATTGTTTCTTGTGCGATACATACGTATGTCTCACACGGGTGGGCTCAAGTATCTGAGGAGTTGTATTCCCAATACCACATTGTCCGCATTTGTTATCACCGCATGCATAAACTGCACCAGTGTCTGAAATTAATTTTTATGTATTTATACCTAAAATAAAATAAATGACATATGTTTTGTGACAGTAAACTCATCATATAAGATTTAAAGCTTAAATCGCCAACACAGGTTTCAAGACATTACTTTGTTTTAAAATAATTCTTTAATTAAATTTAAATCTACATTTACAACTTTGTCATCATTGCATAACAGATGCCACTCTTTTCACTACATGTGTCAATATGAGTTAAAGTTACCTGTAACAAACAGGGAATGATTCCTGCCAGCTGCAGCATGTATGATGTTCATGCCTCTCAATCTTGGAACCAATTCAGGTACATTGCGAGTGACAGTGTCACCAAATCCAAGTTGACCGCATGTGTTACGACCTTTAAAGAAAATTACACTATATAGTGACATATTCAAAGACATATAAAATTAGTAAAATCATATAAATTTACTAGCTTAACTATACATACATAAAACTAATCATTGATTTAGTAATATGCTAAGATTTAAATAGTGAAAGTATTTATTTACTTTAAAATATCAGAAATGAATGTATGTATGGAATTGAACCATTACCACACAGAATGTAACCATGGAAATACTTACCAAAAGTATAGGCATCGCCTTCTTCAGAGACTAAGATGGAATGGCCGGCGCTGCAGCCGCTTACTATCAGGCGGTACTAAAAACAAAATGTCTGTGGTAATCTAGATTCATATTTTACAATAATAAAAAAAGGTAACATTACACACTACAGGGAAGTATCTGAATCAACACTTCACACTTTTAAATCCGTTGAGTACTTTAGAAAAAACTAGTGTATATTATTCCGATTAGTAACTTATGCAAAAAAGTAAATTAGATTTTAACACCCTTTTTCACCGGTTTTCTTTTAAGTTACAGTTTAAATATACAAACCTTCCGATCAGTAAACTTGTGGAAAGTGAAGAGGTTGGGCTGAGCACGCTGGGTCGGAGTCTTATCCCTCTTAGCGACCATGTCCCAGGTAACAAGCCCAGCAATCATCAAAACACCAGGTGTTTTGTAAAAAGTTTGCAAGAGCTCCTGCAACATGACAACATATCTTATATAGAATAGAATAAATACTACATTAAATTATTTCAGTCAATTAAAATAATTTCAGAAACAATCAACAACATATTGTCTGTACTGACTTTTGTATTTTTTTATTTTATCAATTGAACTGTACATACCTCTGGCAACTTCTCCCTTGGTTCTTCAATAAGAGGAGATAAGTTTCGCGGCGGCTCTTGTAGAGCATGATCCGAATGGTTGGAATCACTGCTGTCATCGTCATCAGAAACAGGCCTACGTGCCTTACGCACCCGCGTAGGGCCACAGAGCATTGGGTTTTTGCGCTTATTATTAGACATGATCTGTGTAAAAAGATTTTATTTTTTTATAAAACAGTCTTCCTAATATCAATATTCTTTTTCCTATTCTGATCTCAATATCAGTACTTATACTTAACACTACACTACTTTTATTCAGTCTTTATTTTTAGCCAGCTATAGCCTTTTAATTGTCATATATACCTTGCTATAAAGTGTATATGACACTGTTAATAATTAATTGTGCAGTGCAGATAACTAACAATTTTTATTTGATTAAAGCATTGATTAATATTGTACGTGTTGATTTCCATAAAAAAATATAATAGAATATAACAAACATCATAAGACACAAAGTATAAATATCAGGATACATATATTTAGCTTCAGGAAACTTACAAGAATTTGCATGAGGTCAATATCCTATTGTAATGCAAAGAAACGAAAAACGTTATCTTACTGTGAGTTTGAAACTCTATAAATTATTTATGATACTTGTGTCATTCAGCAATGGGATACAATAGTTATTCATAGGAACAGATCCAATGTTCACCAAAATTAACATATTTTGTATATCCAACTGATCTATAGATTTGCCTAGTTACAACAAAACAGCCTAGTTACAAAAGTATAGTTGATGCCGAATTATATATTTTTCTTTTAAATTTTGACTAGTCCAATAAAGCTTTAAAGTGGGATATAGGAACATCATAAATAAACAGTTCAAATATTCCTAATGGAATCGCTATATATGATAGAGATATACTACTGGTTACTTTTATTCTTTATTTAAATCTACAATTTTCTCAATCCTTCTTTCGCAAGAATGGTGGTATAGCACATATAAGCCAAAAAAAAGAAAACAACATTTTAATAGATTTAGAAAAAGATATGTTGTGTATATATAACACTCTAAGGATAAACTTAAAAAAAGCTGATGATGATAAGAAAACTATATTTATAAAAACTACACCCTTAAGGTTGCTATTTTTACATCCTCTCACGCACAATATGCACAAACAGTGTTGTTGGCGGAAAACCATAGCTTCTACTTCTAACTAAACCCACCACTTAATATTATCTGCTCCTAACGGCTATGAATATCTACAGACTAGCAGAGTTTACAGGCTAAATGTGCTAGGAGTTAAGGGCCCTCTTGCAAAAGGTTTGTCTACAACAAAGAACATAAAGTCTACGATGTTAATAACAAGAGAATATATAAGGTGAAAAAGATTGTTTGACTAGCTTGCCTCAATACTGTATAACAAACTTGATGTTAACCTAAGCCTTGCATATTAGTTATGTAGCAATAGGCTTTCCTTTTTGTATTTTAAAACTAAATTTTTTAAACTAACAGTGTATGTAATCTTACAACACTTTGCCTACTGTGATTATTATCTATATAAAGAAGTAATGTTAGTTACAATATTTATAGCTCAAGAACGGCTGCCCCAATTTGGCTCAGCATTGTTGGAGAAGTAGCTTAGAACCAGAAGACAGGCATAGGATCCTTTTAACCCATATTGGATGGAGTTGCAGGCAAAAGCTAGTACTTAGTATTATTTAAATCAATACATTTGTTACTGTTTCCTACAAATCACCTGTAAATGTAAGAGAGGTATGTTTAAAAGATTTTTAAACCTTTTTAAATATACACTCAGTGCAGTGATCCGACAACATTTTGCACAGCAGTATTGAACTGTGGTATTTGCAGAAATACTGCAAAGCCCCCTATTGTCTGGACTTTTTTTAAAGGGTACCTTTTAATCAGACAAACTAGAGATCAAACAAATTGATATAGTTATACTCTAAAGAAAAAGTGAAATTACACACAATTAATGGTATCCAAGTTATAAAAATAATAATTTATGTTAGGATATAATTTTGTACTAACAAATTTACAGGCTAGGGGTGGATTTGCCAGGGGCCGGATTACCACGGGTCTACTTTACATATAAACTATAATGAATAAATTATCCTAAAGCAGGTAAAAATCTTATAAATCTGATTCATCTCTTAGGAGTTAGAAGCCATATAGAAGTAATAGAAAACAACTTTGTTTTAAATTTATAGATAGGACTTGATAGGGAATTTTTCATGTCATCCAATAAACATGTTTTTAATGTTTCAACATTGCATTGTAAATATAAAGATAGCACCATTGTAACAAACATGTTTATGAAAAAACAAAGTAGGTCATATGACATTGGACTTTAGTTTGAACTATATTATCTGCAATCTCTTCTTTTTCTTCAGTTTCTTTACAGTAATGATGTTTGTTTTTTTGAAGTTATAATTGAATACCTACATCCTAATGTTTTCTAGGTAATAGTATCGTTACCTAGTTTCATAGTGTGTTCTTAATATAAATTAGCAAATTACAAAAAATATAAATTTGCGTACTCGAAATAATGCATGGATAAATGTGATTTACTTCGAGGCTTTATGTAACTTATTGAGCGATTCTTTTCGTCAAACCATTAATTTTATTACTTACGTATACGTATTGTTTGCATTAGAAACGTTTAAAAACAATAATGAAATTATCATTAATAGGCCGATTTCAGTAGTTTAGTACTTACGTACTCAGAAATATATCGAAAAATTTATGTCCTTTATACAATTTATTTGCAATTTTGGGAAAAAAAAATGGCGATACGTCACTCAAATAGGGCAGTATAGAAAAATTAAACGGTAGTCTTAAAATCGTTAGAATCGGCAGAAAATGGCCTTTAAGTTGATTTTTTTGAAAGACATGCCAAAATATGAACCAAGGAATTGTGTTTTATAAAGCTTTTAATGTGATCTAACCGATGTTTTATATTGATTTTTTACAATTCATGAAACTATGAATTGAACGCCACCGATATCGACACGTGCCATGTTTATCAAAATTAAAACACAATAAAAAGTAAAAATAACAGAAAAGACATTTGAAAAAACATATATTTCAGAGTTTTTATTCACTTACCGGTTAAATGCAGCAATGAAACAATATAACACTGATTTCAAGAACTCAAAGATGACCTCTCATTTACACAGCAGCGACAAAACGACAAACGACAATAGAGATACCGTGAAAAAATTATTATTAACCCACATCCCCACCCTATGTTTTCTTTCAAATAATTGTAGGTAATATTGAAAATATTGCCAGCAAATAATATTAAAAAGCGTCAGGAGCAACATTGTTTTGAATTATAATTGCCTTCCTTTTCTAATTAACCATAAAGTTGTTGGCGAGAAAGAGATAACATATGTTTGAAACAACCTGGCCAAACGTAGACTGGCTATTCGTTGTGGTGTTTTGTGCCTTGATTTTCGCCATTTTGGTACTGATGGTTGCGGTTCTTGGCGGTGGTGAGCATTCAAACTATTTATTAGTAACTAATTATTATAGATAGAATTAACTATCAGAATGTCTAATCTAAACGATGCAAAAGCTAAAATTTCCAATCCATGACCTATCCATTTATAGATCAGATATCAGTGTTTGCAGCATTCAAAATATTAATGGCCACGAATTATTCCGATTGGTTTACCGAATTATTTTATCAATCTATGGTTTTTTACCGCATAAGTTTGTACTTATTTTATTCCACTTAAAACGTTCTAATTATATGATTAAAGACGTAAGAGCTTAAATTATATTCGTACATTTTCTGTACGTACACCAAGATTAAATATTTATTGGCCTCTTTTCCCCCACTTTCATATGGCCACAAATGGCACTCAAGATCCATTATATCCTCTTTGTCAAGAATAGTGAAAGAAGTAGGCATGGCTAACTCTAGTAAGAATACCTGCAAATCAGCTCATGCTACCGCTATTTCAGATTGCTTAGTTTGATAACTGATGCCTATAAAGAACCGAATAATTTTATATGACGAAAAATGTTGTACTTCTTAGACGGTTGTTATAATGTCGGCCGTACGCGTATTACGTAGACCTATGATTATTAGTATAACTATTGAGAATCGGTCTTGCAATAATATCAATTTGCAAATAATTTGAATAATAACTTGAGTATTTTATTACTTTTGAATTTATTACAGATGTCTCGCGCAATTAACTAAAAACATGATTTTTTTTGCCAACATCTCAATTTATTTTATATATTTATGTAGTTAGTGTGGAAGAATAACGTTGGCAAGAGAAGGATCAATTTTTTAATTGTAATTCAAAAACAATAATCAAGATATGTTCGATTTCAAGTTCTATGAGAACAACCATCGAAAATAGAAAATTTTTACTTAAACCATCTTTTGTGAATTTCTAAAGTAATCTATTTTAAATAGTTGCGAGTCAAGGAATACCGACAATTACTTCTCATTGAGCAATGACATGCATTATCATGGATAACTTGGTTAAAATTGAAGTTCTGTAGATCTTCAATTTCAGAGTTCTGATTGAAATTAGTAGATAAATATATAGAACTTAGTTTCGAATAACACATGAAATAATTTGTTATTTTTATATAGTGCTTAGACGAAGTTGCAGGCAAAAGCTAGAAGCTAGTGAAGAACCAGTAACTGCTCCTGTTTTTTAAATAAAACAATGATATACCTGGATTTATTTATATTTCACTTGTATTTAGTTTAAAAAGTGCTGTTAATGACATGAATTTTCCAATAAAACAATTACATACGATACACTTTTCAAATTTATTTTAATATAATAAAATACTTGTTACAATTAAAAAGTTGAACAATGACATAATTCAATTCCGAACTTCTTTAAAATAGTTATAAGTTTTATCCCAAAACTGATGTTGGTAAGCTTCACATATTTATCTAATTAGATATTGCGAACTATAATATATTTCTGTTCTTCTCTTATCAGCTGTTGACAAGATCTCAATATGCTTTCTATTCCTAGTTGCGGAATTAAACGCCAATTTATATATACCTGGTTCTGTATAGTTTCTAATATTGTAAATAAATTTTCGTTAGAACTTTATTTTCTATTTATAAGGCAGAATTCATAATTTCATTGTTATTATTGTGGTAGTATATATTCATTTGTGCGTTCTAGTTGTATAATTAAAATAACAAATGAGTAAAAATATACATGAGTCTTTGACAATTAAAGTTTTTAAAGAGATAACTATACTTGGATTATTAAATAATGGTCTCTACAAACTTTAAATATAAATTGCATTTATCATATTATTTTTGAAAGTCCTTTGAAAACCTGGACCTAGATAGTAACAAATAGTTGTATGGCACAGTGGGTAAAAGTAGCCATTTTGGCATGTCTTGTTGTCTAGGTTAGTAGAGAGTTTTGTGTAACCAACCGTTGGTTTCTGAGACGAAAATCTTTGTATAAACACATTGTCATCATCTTTGACAAAACAGAAATAATGTTTTAAAGGTATATTTTGGTATCTTAAACCCACGGTAAGACAATTCAATTTCTAAGCTAAATTATAAATATCATAATTGGTGATATAGTTACTATTTTACCATAAATATTTCTTTTACCAAAAATAATAATAAAAACTTTTTTCTAGTAATCTTATCTTTCTTATCTGTGATATAAATATCCGAGTATAGTTTAACATCTTATTATTGTATAATATTTTTTTTATAAAAATAACATTGGGCTACTGTTAAATTCTGTTTAAAGTTTTGGTTTTCTCGTTCTGGTTAAAATTCGTTACCGGTATTTCTTATTGATATTTTTTAATCGTTATCACTTTATTTATATTTAAATCTTACGTAATAGAAGAATTAAATTGGTCACCATTATATTTTGAGGTTATAATGTAAGTTGTGATGAACACAGTCTGTTGTATCGGGCGTGCGGCATTCAGCCAACAAGGAGGCGACAAATACTTCTTGCTCCTTAAGTCGTTTGACGAGTACTTCCCATTTGCCATAATTTAATTCCATTAATTGCACCGCTTTGTTCATTATCTTGTGTGCCTCTAAACACCAGTAACTACAAAAGAAAAATTATATCTTACTACCTTACTAATATTAATGCGAATGTTTGGATGGATGGATGTTTGTTTGTAGGTATCTCCGGAACGGCTCAACGGATCTCGCTGAAATTTGGCATGGATGTAGAACATAGTCTGGAAGAACACATATGCTACTTATTAAGTCTTTTTCTAATAGCGCGCGGACGGAGTCGCGGGCGACAATTTATTTGTTCTAAAAATGAGCGATTCTGAACATTAGAGATAGATTTTTGATAACATATTAAGTTACAAACCGATAATCTGGATGACCAGGCAGCTTAAAGATTCTCTCCAGCATAACGTCGGAGAGTTTTCTTAATTCATGCGCCACCTGCATTACATTAAATTATATAAACATATAATTATATTATAAAATGTACTAAAAATATTTATACTCTCATTAAATATTAAATAATGTTATTGTATATGTAGAAGACATTTATATTTTTTGTTTACTTACTATGTTATACTTATATGTTTATACATTTAAAAATGCTCACCTCAACACTGAAAGAGCCAAATTGGTATTCAAGGCTCTGAATATTTTGTTTTATCAATTCTACACTTCTGCTAAAGTCACCTGTAAGTTAT